TTACAGGTCTGAACGTAGCTTAACAATGATTGATGGAAAGGTCAGCAATGCCATAACAGAAACTTCTTCCTTCTGGAGATGCTCAATATGTAATGAGAAAAAGTCGCAATTCTCAAATATAAACAAAAGCAGAAGTATTAATGAAGAAGTCCTGTCTTTCGGAATTTCACCACTTCATGCCAGAATATGATTTTTGGATTACTTTTTACACAGAGAATCTTACTAAATCAACAAAAAATAATGAAGAATTGAAAGAACTGAGAGCTGCGGAAAAAAGCAGAATCCAAGAAGAATTTAAAGTTCAGATGGGATTAAACATCGACAAACCACTTCCAAGTTGCGGTAGTACAAATGACGGTAATACGGCGAGAAGGTTTTTTCGTGATTTTGAAATTACTTCAAAAATAACTGGAATCGACAAGGAGTTGCTTCGAAGAGTTAACACTATTTTAATGGCACTGAATAGTAAACATAAAATTAAAGGAAATCGATTTGGGGAACATACATCTGAAATTTCTAAATTACTTGTATCTCTGTATCCATGGAGGGAACTAACACCAACAGTACACAAAGTATTGTGTCATGGTCAAATAATAATTGAATCGAATATTCTTCCACTGGGAGAGTTAACAGAAGAAGCCCAGGAAGCGAGGAATCGAGATTTTAAGCATGTTCAACTATTCAGCTCAAGAAAATGCTCCAGGCAATCACAGAATGAAGATATTTTTAATAGTTTACTTCTATCTTCTGATCCTGTTCTTTAAACTATGCGAAAAAGATGGATTTGTTATGAAACTCTATCATCTCAAAACAAGGAAGATTTAAAGGACTTATATTACCTTCTGGATATGTATACCGATATGACAGATTATTTTATAGAAAATAAGTAGTGTTAGGAATTAACTATATAAGTAGGTTGTAAGAATTAATTGTATTATGTTTAAGATAAACAGTTCAAATAAAAAAGCTATTATACTAACTGATGATATTGTATTAAATTGTGTTTTATATTTCGGTGGGCGAGAAAGGTGGTTTGTGTGGGGTGATTTAGGTGTTGTTGTGCGTGGCTCATAATAAAATTATAATTTTTTTATTGTATATACAATGTTATAGTCTTTAATAAAATAATTAACTAAATAATTTTTAAAAATTGTCCAAATATTTTATTCAACACCAAATGTATGCTCTGTCATACTTAATACTAAAATATGAAAAAGATGAAATTAAAGGTCACAGGTTTAAATGAACATATTTTTGAATGTAATTGAGATATTGGCTTGAAATTTTTTGCAAAGGGTCGAGAATTTCCATATCTAACTAAAAAATTATATTAAGGGATAAATATGGACTAAATTGTTGTAGCTATCTGCGACCCTATTAATATTTTGATATAAATCATAATATATAAATAAATAATAATCAGTTTTAGAAATTAAACAAATATGTAATATATGACAAAATCTTTATTTATGAACAAAACTCAATGAAATTTTCAAAGCTTATTAAATTTGTCATTTCAAATAAGAAAATGCCTTTGAAAAGGTCAAAGGGCATCCCGCAATTCCCAAAAATAGGAATGAAAATCCCAAAAATGGGATTTTTTACCATTTTGCCCATAGGGTCCACATTTCTTTCAGGGCTGGGAAAATACTTTTGGAGTAAATAGAAAACATATTGAGGTTTCCAAAACTGCTTTCAGTTTTCTGATCCCAGGTTTGGGATTTTAGAACATGTTGAAGTTTTGATAAAAAATAGGTCATATTCGTAAGGACGCAGTGGACAAGTTTTTTACGCCAAAGCGTTCTGCGTTAAGATACCTTTTAGAAAACTATAAAATTGTTATATATTCTTAAAGAAAATTTTATTTTATTAATAAAAGAGTTAAGACACATTTTTGGTAAAAAAACGGCAAAAATCTAAAATTTTTTGAATTTTTAAATTAAAAAACGTATATTTTTGGATCTGTAAATGATATTGATCTGAAATTTTTTGTATATTATTGAAAATTTCGTTGTCTAACTAACAAGAAATTGAATTGAATTGAGTCCATTTGGTCCAAAATTACGCCCGGTATTCAAAAAAAGGCGGACCAAGGTATGGTAAATTTTGTATCACTAAATTTTTAAATGCCTATAACTCGGATATTATAAGAGATAAGTAGTAGTTTTCAAGACCTCGTCGAGCGCTTTCAGAAAATATAAAAATCTTTGTATTTGGGTGAAAAACAAAAAAATGGCACGAGTTTAAAAATTTTACATGTCGTAGGTACCCTACGGCCGCCACAGCGCCGTCCCTGGGGCATCTGCAGGGTTCATCTTCAAAACTTAAACTCGAATACTCCTTGGCTACGCTCACGCCAAATTTTATCCCGATCGAATCAGCCGTTTAGAAATGCCAGATTTATTTCCAAAAAATTTCGATTCTGCCCCACTGTGCATAGTTAATATCCATTATTCAAAAAGACCAGCAAATTACGAGCAAATAAAAAATTTTCCAAAAAAATTTCAAATATTTTTTAACAAATATAAAAATAAACATAAATTTGAAATATCAAGGCTTCTACATTATGTTTAAAAAAAAATAAAAATTAAACAAGTAAGAAAGTATAGTCGGGCTTGGCCGACTATATGATACCCTACACCAGTTATGAATATTTAATGTGATTTATTTTTCATAATAAAGCATTTATCTTGAATATTACCTTGATTCCGATTTATTTAAGCAACTTATTGACGAAAAACTTATTTTCTAAAAGAGGCTTTATATGAGGGATAGGAGCAAATGTGGACTGATCCCGATAAAATGCGCTGGATAGATTTGTATTTATATAATATTTGTCTGTGCTAAGTTTTGTTGCAATAACAGTGCTAATAAATGAATTGCGGATATTCAAGTCACTTTCTTTGTGTGGGGGCTAGGGTCAAATGAAGTTCGATCATTTCGAAATTCGGCAAGGCTTGTATAAAACTTAGTTGTGCAGACTTTCATCGAGATACATTTATATTATACATAATTATGAAAGACCTTTTCGGGGGGTTCAGTTGTATGGTGCCTAGCTGAAATAATGGGCCGATTTTAACCATTTTCAATAGGCTTCGTCCTTGGGTCAAAACAAATGTGTATTCCAAATTTCATCATTATTATCTTGAAAATTGCGACTTGTACTTTGATAACAACGTTTACATGGACACACAGACCGACATCGTTAAATCGACTCAGAAAGTGATTCTGAGTCGATCGGTATACTTTGAGGTGGGTATAGTACTAATATTTTAATGCGTTACAAACATCATCACAAACGCATAATACCCTTCCCACTATAGTGGTGTAGGGTATAAAAATTCATACCATTTAGGAACTTAGAGCGTGTGCCAAATGATAGCAAAATTCTATTTGTAATTTTCCTATGATGGGAACATTTTTACATTTTGCTGTGCCAAACGATATCTTTTCCTGCTGTGATAAATTTTGACAATTTTCATTGATTAATTCTGAAAATTTAACACTTCCAATAAAAATAAATGTTTTTTACGTCCTTTCAGAATTTTATAATTTTCATTTATTTATTTTTTGTTTTGTAAATTTTTATTTTCATTTGTCAAAAATTTATGTAGCTCAAAGAGCTAATAAAATTATATTCACCTCATATCTATTAAAAATTTACTTTTACCAGTAAATTGCTATCGTTTGGCACACAGCCTTATTCTTAAATATTATTAACTTTTGTCACTGAAAGCAGTTCATAATATTTATCCTGAAGCTTTTTTCTGTGAACAATCAATATAATAATGTTTAAACCTTTTTTGGCAATTGAAATTTTGACGGTAAACAATAACCTGATTTAGAAAAATTGGTTAGTGTATTTAATTTTCTCCTGTTCTGTATTTTGCTGAAAAAAATATGGTCACCGTACATTTGAGAGATAAAAAGTATTAAAACGTTCTCTTAAAGAATCATATTCAAAATGGACCGAGTATGTTTAATAATCATGTGTTTTGAAATCATAACATAGAACATACAAAGAGTACCAAAAGTGGAATAAATTCTACCTTTGTGGAAAGTACTAATAAAAAGAGTACCATTTCCCCCTTTTAGTCTAGGAATACACTTTTCGAAAATTAAGTTTACAAAATATTCCGTGTTTAAATCTATATATCACAAAACTCAAAAAATTTATATCTGCGTTCATTTGTTCCAGAAAAATTGTGCTTTCAAAAAGTACCAAACAATTTACCAGAATTTGGTCCTATATAACCCTTAGTACCTGATCTCCAAAATGATGTACCAATATAAATTTTATAAAAATTGGCTCAATTAGTTTGAATAAATTAAATTTCCCTTTTTTCCCCTTTTTGGTGCTTTTCCCCAGTGAAATAGCAAATATTTTGTTTCAATACATTTTACAAAGTTATTACGTAATTTAATAGGTATACGTCAATAAGTCGAAAAGGTTTTCTTAATGTGATAAATAAGTATCAAAAATAAGTTTCCTCCCTTTTACACCCAAAAAGGACTGAATTTTAAAAAGTACGAAACAGGCGTCTCATAATTTTGGAAAATATATCCAAAATATTTACAAAAATTGTATTAAGTTTATTAGTTAAAAAGTTATAAAGGGCCCAAAATGGTACCAAAATAACCTTTGTTACACATTTTCACCCCTTAAAAACCGAATTTCAAAAAATACCAGACATCCATCTGCTAATTTTAAGAGAAGATACTGGTGCACTTAAAATTTTTCTTGTATCACTAATATTGTGTAAGATAATTAAGAAAACCTGTTTTGCCCGTTTTTCCCTGTTTTACTCCTAAATTCATATATTTCAAAAAATCCCTCCTTAGTGGATCTACGTAACCAAAAACACATCTACTGTCAAAATTTAATGATTCTAGGTTCAGCCGTTTGGGCTATGCGATGATGAATCAGTCAGTCAGTAACGCTACACTTTTATATACATACTATAGATTAACTATTATTTGTTATTTATTTTTTGTTTCAGTCGGTAGTTATATCTGGCGAGTCTGGGGCTGGAAAAACTGAAACAACAAAATTTATTCTTCAATACCTATGTGCTGTAACTTCCAACGTTTCAACTTGGATCCAACAACAAATATTGGAGGCAAATACGATTCTGGAAGCTTTTGGTAAGTTTCATCATAGTCATAACACCACTACTTAGTTAAATATTTTATTGTGCTTCCAATAATGGTTTTTACAGATAAAAACCATTTCCTTTCTGTGTGTGTTTAAAACAGTTTCTAGCGATAAAATAAAATGTGCAAATAAACCGTCAAAACTAAAAAAAGTACTTACGTATCTGATTATATGTAAGTCATTATAAGTACTTAATAATAATGCAGAAGTAGTAGTCATTGCAAAGAAAGTCGTTATGTAAGTATGTACATTAGGGTGGGTCGAAAAAAAAGTTGAGTCAGTCACCCCCTACGATTAAAGATATGTTAATAACATTTCCAAAAATATAAAAAATATATTTTTGCCACGCCTAGAAATACCGCCCTTTTTGTTTTTTATACATTATGCCGCCATTTTTAGTCCGATCGTAACATATCATATATCAATATTTATGGCTTGACTTTAGCTATATTTCACTCTTAGACAATTTTTTATTTCGACGCCATATTCTTTGCGCGACTTCTGATATCTCGGATCCTTCCCCAAAATATAAAATTGTGGCTATACTGGAATAAAGTACATTTAATTACATAAAATATAGGCTTTTAAAATGCTCACTTTTATGCATAAAGAGCTATTTTACAGGTATTTAAAAATACCTGTATAGTTCAAACTACAAACAATTAATTTGCTAGGGATATGGTCGAAAACAATTTTTTTCAAATTAATTTACAATACAAAAATTGCATCCTACCCCTATCTTAACAAAAGAAAGATCATTTTATTCAGCATTTAATTCTATTAATTAATAACAAAATCACGTAGGTACATAAAAATTAAACATTTTATTTTATAAAAATCGATGAAAAATTAAAGTGTTATGCAATGTTTTACAAAAATGTATGAAAAACATTTTTTTTCATACAACTACTTGCATGTTTCTTTTTTTTTTAACAATTTTTAAAAATGTTTATACTAATTTTTATAAAATGGGATAAATTTATTTTATGATTTTTTTAAAGGTTAGGTTAGGTTTTAGAAGGATGTATACTACATCAAATCCGAAGAAATACACCTAGGCCACTATCGGGCCTGTTGTGCGCTCCAATTCAAGAAAGAAGAAAAAAAAATTGTTCACTGACTGTATTATTTTTCCATGTTCAGAAACTCAGTTTCCTGGACGTAATTCCTAAGAATCTTCCAATCGGTGTTGGTTAAGAATGTTATTTCCGGAATAACATCACTTCCAAGCTACTTGGATCTAACTTCGACGAATGTCTGACAGTGGCAAAGAAAGTGCTCCAGAGTTTCACTGTCCTCTCCTCATGCTCTACATTCGTCTGAATCCGCATGTCCAATTTTATATAGGTATGCTCGTAATTCTGTGTGTCCACTCAGAATACGAACCATCATACTAACCTCAGACTTGCTCATTTTGAGAAGATTTCTCGTCTTGCTCTCATCAGGGTCACCCCATAGAATCTTTGTGGTTCTACCCACCGTTTCATTATTCCAAGAGGCCTTATGGGATTCTCTCATCCATATTTTTAATTCAGCTTTTGTTGCGTCGAATGGTTTTGCGTTTGTCAGGTTAACTACATCGAGCTCCCTTCCCTTTAAAGCTATTACATTCGCCCTTTCGTTGCCGACTACTCCCGAGTGGCCTGGTACCCATATGATGTGAACCTTACCTCTGGGAGAGTATTCAGTTAAAGCTTTCTTACAATCCAATACGGTCTTAGATTTAATTCTATCACCTGATATCGCACAAATTGCTTTCTGGCTGTCGGTAAATATATTAAGCCCTGTGGGCGCCATATTTATTCTAATCCAATTTACACATTCCGTTATTGCTCGTACTTCTGCCTGGAAGCTTGTGTTATGATTAGGTAAACGGTGGTATATTTCTGTTTCTGGGTCTTCAATATAGAACCCCAGGCCCACTTTGTCCCCTAATTTAGAGCCATCCGTGTAGCAACGGATTCCTACTGGTATTTGCTCTAATGTTTCGCTTGACCAAGACATTCTATCTGGGATTAGCGTTTCAAAGTTTCCGACATATTCAGTGTCTGGTATGCGATCAGGCACGTCCGATGAATGTGTATAACCTTCCAATGTGTCCAGTATACATTGATGACGTGTCCTATAACCGTTTTTGGCCAGTTCGCCTAAAGTAAAGAGCCGTTCGGCTGTAAGCGCCGCCTCATATCTTATATATGTTTCAATGGGTGGAATATCTAGCAACGTTTCCAGAGCCTTGGTTGAAGTAGTACACATGGCACCACTTATACTCAAGCAGCATGTACGTTGAACTCCCTGTAGTAGTTTGATATTACACTTTTTGTCCAAAGCAGTCCACCAGATTATTGAAGCATAAGCTAGAATTGGTCTAATTACACTTTTATAAAGCCAATTTGTCATAGTAGGACTAAGACCCCATTTCATGCCTATGGTTCTTCTACATATCGCCCAGCACCGATGTGCCTTGTTGATCCTATCCTCTATGTGGTGTCTCCATTTTAATTTCCGGTCAAGTATTACACCTAAGTACTTAACTTTGTCTGTCACCGGTATCTTCTTGCCCAGGAAGCAAGGTTCAGTATATGTAGAAATTTTTGTCTTTCTTGTGAAAAGACAGATTTCCGTCTTCGCCGGGTTAACATTGAGGCCTCTCGGTTGAGCCCAGCTCAAGGCCGTATTCAGAGCTTACTCAGCTCTTCTACACAAGTAATTTGGATCCTTTCCCTTTAAAAGTATTACGACATCGTCTGCATAGCAGACAGGTCTAAGTCCTTTCTCGGTTAGGGTCCTTAGGAGGCTATTAATCGTGGTAACCCAGAGTAAAGGTGACAAAATGCCACCCTGTGGTATACCGCGAAATACCTTTTTCCTGATAGTTATATCGTACATCTCGCAGCTTATCCATCTGTTCCTTAGCATGTAATTGATCCAGTTACGGAGCACCCGGTCTAGGGATTGGATAAGGGTATCAGTGTGCACGTTATTGAAAGCGCCTTCGATGTCAATGCATACCGCCAATGTATACAGTTTGCTATCGAAAGATTCACCTATGTAGTGGACAACTTCATTTAAAGCGGTTTCCACCGATCGTCCCTTTACATGATATGCTGCTTATATTTAAGGTCTTTGTATGGTATGCTGCTTTTAACCATGCTATCGACTATCCGTTCCAAGGTTTTAAGTAGGAAGGACGTAAGACTTATCGGTCGATAGGACTTAGGTGTCGCATAGCTAGGTTTCCCTGGTTTGGATATAAATATTACCCTTGCATCCTGCCATTTAACTGGGGTATATGCCAATTTTAAGCATGCAGTGAATATCTGTTGCAGATGTACGGAAACCAGTCCCGCCTCCATCTGCAAAAGTGCCGGGAAAATTCCATCCGGCCCTGCAGCTTTATAGGGAGCAAAGCTCTTGATTGCCCCTTTAACCATGTCAGTTGTAATAACTATTTCCGTGTTACCCTCCCCTTCCTCCAATATCGGTTCATCTATGTTATTCGATATACCGGGGGGGAAATGAGAATCCATTAGGAGTTTCATTGTCTCCTCCATATCCTCAAGCCTCCTGCCCGTCTCATCGATCATAGATTCCGGTTGGACATGAGTTTTGGATAGGAATTTCTTTATCTTCGATACGTCATTTACGCTATCTACCTGTTCACAGAAAAGTTTCCAGGAGTCTCGTTTGGCTTTTCGAACGATTTTCTAATATTCACCAAGTTTATTACGATACTCATCCCAGTATACTGCGGTCTTTTTACGCCGTGCCCGGTTAAATAGTTTGCGAAGAGTCTTCCCAAGGTTCCGGATCTCCCCAGTTACCCAGGGTTTTTCCTGGGCAGATCTCCGCTCTCGCAGAGGGCAGCTGTCCTCGAACGATTCAACCAGGGCACTTGTGAACGTTTCTACTTTGGCATCTATATCCTCTTTATTTCGACATTGAAAAGTGTCCTGACCTAAACGGTTCTTTAGTAAAGTCCCGAACATTGTCCAATTAGTTTTAGACTTATTCCGAAACATTATCGGCTTTGGTGGTGGCCTTAGTATTTTGAATCTTATGTACCGATGATCAGAAAAGGAGTGCTCGTCCGAAACTCTCCAATCCTGAATTTCGTTTATAAGCTCTTCTGAACATATAGTTATATCTAATACTTCTTCTCTGATTCTATTGACGAAGGTAGCTTTATTACCTAAGTTCAATGTTATCAAGTCTTTAGTATTAAGGAAATCCATGAGGGCTTGTCCCCTGCGATTGGTGTTTGTACTACCCCAAGCTACATGGTGCGAGTTGGCATCACAACCTATTACAATTTTCTTATTTTTTCTTTGTGTCTCTTCAACCAGTTTCATCAGATCCGACGTTACTGGTAGTGTCGGAGAATCGAAAGGCAGGTAAATAGATGCAAGGAATATGTTGCCACGACCTTGCTTCAGCACCGTTGCATCCGATGTTGATAATCCTGTTGAGAGGAGAAAACATAAGTTCTTGTGACATAAGATACATGTTCTCGGGCGAGATCCTGTATCAGCGTAGAAAAGTTGGAAATTTACGTGATTTAATCCAGAAACCTTGTTGCGAATCGTCCAAGGTTCCTGGATTAAAGCTATATGTATTTTACCTGTGTTGATTTTAGCCATCAGAGCGTTGGCAGCTGTCTCGCTCCGATGGAGGTTTATTTGGATAACCTCAATCATGGTCATCCATTAAACTGTCTTCCAGCGAGTTGGTGGTCACCTCCTCGCTCTTTGGATTTGACTCCTCCGGATAGCCTGAATTGCTATTAATGCAGTGGGTACTGTTGATGGCACTGCGGTGTCCTTATCAGGAATAGGAATAGCAGTATTTTTAATAGACACATTCCCAATTCTGGAGAGCACTGCTGATCTGTCTTCTGGCGGGTGAGTGATTTCCTCCTCGCTTTTAGGATTTGACTCCTCAACATTGCTAGTACTTGCTAATGATGCTTTGGGTATTGTCTTAGGTGTTT